CTCCGTGTGAGCTCCGTGTGCTGCTCTAAAAACAGCAGCAGCAGCGGTGTGGGGGCTGCAATGGGGATGGGGGGCACCCACAGCTCCCCCCCAGGGCTCTCTGTGCCCCCCCTGGGGGTCTGGGGGGGTCCGGACCCCCCCTCCCTCCCCCCAAAATTTGTGGGGGATGAATTAAAGCCTTGCACTGTTTGCAGGTTTGGGTTACCTGTGTGGGTTTGTCAGTGAATGGAGGGGTGGGGGCAGATGTGGGGTTGGGGTCACCCTGAAGACCCCCCCAGTGTTAAAGGGGGGGTCCAGGCTCCTTGGGGCACTGCCCGTGGGTGGCACTGGCTGCGGGTGGCACTGTCCCCAACCCCGTGGTGGCACCAGCAGCTCCATCGACCTAGAGCATCTCTGTCTGTCCCCAGTGTCCCTGCAGCCTGGGTTCATCCCCTGGGGTGGGACCCCCACGCTTGGGGGCAGCTTTGGGGGCTGCCACCAGCCCTGTCCTCTCTGTCACCATCCTCACATCCCCTCTGTCACCAGCCCTGTCCTCTGTCACCAGCCCTGTCCCCTCTGTCACCAGCCACCTCCCCTGGGTCACTGCCACCCGACTGCTGGCCCCACAAACCCCCATTTGGGGGTCCCTACAGCCCCAAACCCCTGTCCTGGGCTGTCCCCAATGTCCCTCTGAAGGAGACCCCAATATCCCTGTGAGGGTGACCCCAATGTCCCTCTGAGGGGGACCCCAGTGTCCCTTTGAGGGGGACCCCAATGTCCCTTTGAAGGTGACCCCAATATCCCTGTAAAGGGGACCCCAGTGTTCCTCTGAAGGGGGCCCCAATGTCCATGTGACAGTGACCCCAATATCGCTTTGAGGGTGACCCCAATGTCACTGTGAACGGGACCCCAATATCCCTGTAAAGGGGACCCCAGTGTCCCTCTGAAGATGACCCCAATGTCCCTCTGAGGGGGACCCAGGTGTCCCTTTGAGGGTGACCCCAATATCCCTCTGAAGGGGACCCCAATGTCCCTGTGAATGTGACCCCAATGTCTCTTTGAAGGTGACCCCAATATTGCTGTGATGGTGACCCCAATATCCCTGTAAAGGGGACCCCAATGTCCCTCTGACAGGAACCCCAGTGTCCCTCTGTGGGGACCTCAGTGTCCCTCTGAGGGGGACCCCAATGTCCCTGTGAAGGTGACCCCAATATCGCTGTGAGGGTGACCCCAATGTCACTGTGAACGGGACCCCAATGTCCCTCTGAAAGGGACCCCGATGTCCCTGTGAAGGGGACCCCAGTGTCCTTCTGACAGGAACCCCAGTGTCCCTCTGTGGGGACCCCAGTGTCCCTCTGAGGGGGACCCCAATGTCTCTCTGACAGGAACCCCAATATCCCTCTGACAGGGACCCCTATGTCCCTCTGTCNGCTTTCCCACAGGTGCCTTGGCAGTGCCCGTGCCTGGGGGCACTGGGAGCACTGGGGGCACTGGGAGCACTGGGAGCACTGGGAGCACTGAGAGCTGGCAGAGGTGGCACTGGGAGCATTGGGAGCACTGGGGGCACTGGGGGCACTGGGAGCACTGGTGGCACTGGGAGCACTGGGGGCACTGGGAGCCCTGGGGGCACTGGGAGCACTGGTGGCACTGGGAGCATTGGGAGCACTGAGAGCTGGCAGGGGTGGCACTGGGGGCACTGAGAGCACCAGGAGCTGGCAGGGGTGGCACTGGCTCCTGCCAGAGCTGGGCTGAGTCCAGCACGGGTGATGGAGAGCTCAGATGGGCCCATCCCAATCCCTTCCCATCCCAAACCCCACATCATTCCAGTGCCTTTCCATCCCAATCTCCTTCCCAATTCCAATCCCAATCCCAACCTCTCCTTGTTCTAATCCCTTCCCATTCTCATCCCCGTCCCATTCCACCCAAATCCCTCCACATTTCCATCCCCATCCCAAACCCCACATCGTTCCAATGCCCTCCCATCCCCATCCCATTTTTGCCCCTCTCCCAATTCCCTTCCATCCTCATCCTTCTCCCACCGTCTCCATCCTCATCCTTGTCCCAATCACCCTCCATCTTCATCCCTATCCCACCCTCTCCATCCTCACTCCTATCCCAATCCCTCTCCATCCTCATCCTTAGCCCAATTCCTCTCCATCTTCATCCCTCTCCCAGTTCCCCTCCATCTTAATCCCAATCCCTCTTCATCCTCACCCCTCTCCCACTCTCTTCATCCTCATCCCTCTCCCAATCCCCCTCCATCTTCATCCCTGTCCCACCCTCTCCATCCTCATCTTTATACCACCCCCTCCATCCTCATCCCTATCCCAATCCCTCTCCATCCCTATCTCAATCCCTCTTCATCCTCACCCCTATCCCACCCTCTTCATCCTCATCCCTTTCCCAATCCCCCTCCATCTTCATCCCAATCCCTCTCCATCCTCATCCCACGGGACCCCCACGAGCTGGGGCAGCACGGGGGGGTCACAGCCACATCTCGGGGTGTGGGGACAGACTCTCCCAGACACAGGCACAGCATTCCTGGATTCCCAGAACCCGGTAAAGGCGGCGGATCCCTTATCAGCTCCGTTATCAGCTCCGGGATGGCTCCGGGGCGCTGGCGCTAACCGGGTTAGGCGGGATGGGTGATGGATGGAGGGATGNTCCCAACCCTAATTCGTGGCTCCTGCACCCCTGGATCCCTCTAGGGTGGGGTGGGATGGGGGCAGATCCCAGTACCAGCCCTCATTCATGGCTCCTGCACCCCTGGATCCTTCTGGGATGGGAGAAGATGGGGTGGGAAGTAATGGGATGGGGGCAGAGCCCAATCCCAACCTTCATTCATGGCTCCTGGATCCCTCTGGGTTGGGATGGGCAGGATGGGATAGAGGCAGTCCCAACCCTAATTCGTGGCTCCTGCATCCCTGGATCCCTCTAGGGTGGGGTGGGATGGGGGCAGATCCCAGTACCAACCTTCATTCGTGGCTCCTGCATCCCTAGAATAGGATGGGATGGGACAGGATGGGGTGAGATGGGGGCAGAGCTCAGTCCCAACCCGCATTCATGGCTCCTGGATCCTTCTGGGATGGAAAAAGATGGGGTGGGAAGTGATGGGATGGGGGCAGAGCCCAATCCCAACCCTCATTCATGGCTCCTGCATCCCTGGATCCTTCTGGGATGGGAAAAGATGGGGTGGAAAGTGATGGGATGGGGGCAGAGCCCAATCCCAATATTCATTCATGGCTCCTGGATCCCTCTGGGGAGGGGTGGGATGGGGTTTATTGGGGGATAGAGCCCAGTCCTAACCCTCATTCATGGCTCCTGCACCCCTGGAACAGGATGGGATGATGGGACAGGGGACATCCCCCAGCCCAGCCCTCACCTCTGCCCCTGGAGCCCCCCAGGCCAGGCTGGGTGCAGCCCCCAGCCCCAAACCCTGGAACACCCTGGAGCAGGATGGCACCAACCCCCAGCCCTCATCCATGGCTCTGTGTCCCTGCAGCCCCCAAGGGTGAGATGGGGACAATCCCCAGCTCCAAATGGTCCCTCAGGGCCTCGTGTCCCTGTCCTGTGTCCCCAGGGTCGCCTGCCCAAGTACCTGATCCACCAGAGCCTGGCTGCCACCATGTTTGAGTTCGCCTTCCACCTGCGCCAGCGCGTGGCCGAGCTCTGCTCCAAGCCCTGAGAACCTTCCAGAACCTTCTCTGCTCTCTGGGCCGAGCTCTGCCCAAGCCCTGAGGACATTCTGGCCCTCTCTGGCCATGGGGACAGGAGCCTGCACCCCCCCAGGCAAGGAGGGGTCCCCTCAATACCAGCCAGGGGGGCTCAGCCTCTCCTCCCACCAATGCTCAGGTGGGCTTGGACCCGACTGTTCTGTGCCAAATCCCTGCCCTGGGGGCTGGGCAGGGCCCCCCCTCCCCAAAATCAGGTTGGGGGCTCAGCTGGCACCCCCAGATTGGTGTCACTGAGATCCTCAGATTGCTGTCAGTGGTACCCCCAGATTGGTGTCATTGGCACCCCCAGGTTGGTGCGACTGGCACCCCCAGGTTGGTGTTGCTGAGATCCCCAGATTGGTGTCATTGGCACCCCCAGATCGCTGTCAGTGGCACCCCCAGATTGGTGTCAGTGGCACCCTAGATTGGTGTCAGTGGCACCCCCAGGTTGGTGTCACTGGCACCCCCAGATTAATGTTAGTGGCACCCCTAGATTGGTGTCACTGGCACCCCCAGATTGCCATCAGTGGCACCCCTAGATTGGTGTCAGTGGCACCCCCAGATCGCTGTCAGTGGCACCCCCAGTTTGCTGTCCCTGCTCCCCAGTTCCCTGAGGAAGAGGGGACAGAGGAGGTGCCCACGTCCCAGCTGAGCCCTGTGCCAGGCTCGGCGCCTCAAGGCACAATTTGTGACACCCCCAAACCCCCCTGGCTCCGGCTGAGCCCCCTCATTCCTTCCTTCCTTCCCTC